TCATTGCCTCTGTTTCTTTCCTTAACTTATGTTCCAGTAGGTAGTTGAAGCGGGGAGGGTAGGCAAAAAGACCTCTATAAAGTTAAGGAAGACACAATCCTAACACAATGCGTGAGATAACAAAAGTTTCTTTGATTAAATGCTGTAATTAGCAACTCCAAAGGGAAGCTCTGGGCGTTCTTTAGTCATCTGGGGACATTTCCCATGCAGGCAGAGCTTCGAAAGGGGCTCCAGAGAGACAAAATCTGGGAAGAGGACTGATGAAGTGACAGTATGTCACTCACCCGCCTAGAGCTACAGCACTCAGAGTTTTGTAGAAGTCAAGAGTTTACTTCCACCAGCAACCACTCCACACATGTAATCGATGAAGCCGAGATGGAAAGGGGAAGGCTGCAACCCAATGCACCCTCACCCCATCAGTCATATCAGTACCACTAATTAAACGTGCTCAGGGCTGGGGATATAGCTCAGATACACAAGCACCTGCCTGGCAAGCACAAGGTCTTGAGTTCGATTCCCAGTACCAAAAAAAAAATGTGCTCAGGTTTAGCCAATGATTTGAAATCCACTTCTCTTCTGTTTCATTTTAACTAACAAATTTAAGACTACAATCATCAGCAGACTCTGTGCCTTCCTTAAGGATAGGAATTACGCTAGTAATCATAAACTGCAAGCATATGCATAATCATAAACTCCAAGCAGCCTTCAGATGAAAGTGAACTCGGCTTAGTGTTACAACAGAGAAAAACCACAGAGAATTATTTCAAAGAGATAGCAATAACTACTGAACCCTTGCAAGTTACTTTTTTTCAGAGTTTCTGACTAAAAAAATTTCTGCAACTTCTGGTTTGGCTCAGTCCACTTCTAGAAATAATAAAATTTAATGTTGCATTATTTAATGTCCAAGAGATATGAAGATACTCATATTCCAAGTCAGGCCCACGGAGAAAAATACATGAAATTTGATTTTTAAAGTATATGCATTGGCAGACTTGACAAAAGTTTTTAAATGATAATATGTAGTTTAAATTTTGAGAGGAGTTTTTCTACTCAGTTTAAATCTTTACTAGCATTATTTATTTGTATTTAGGGTTCTTCATTGACTTGAGAAAGCAACTATATAAACTGAACAAATTTTGGAAAACATATAAAAGTATAAAGAAAAATTCTACCCTGACATCATCACTTTAAATATCTTCAGATATATTTCTAAACTTTATAGTTAGATATATGATTGTGGAGCAAAATTAATATCATATTAACATGATTTTTAAAAACTTTACTTTTATCATTTAAAAGAATAATAGAAAATTACAAGATTGAACACCAAACCTGAAAAGATTGGTGGTAGTTAAATTTGTGGGCTCTTGCCCCCGAAGAAAATATATCTAACATGATTTTAATTTTTGAAAGTTTTCTCAATTCTTTGATGAAGTCTTTTATTTTAGGGGATTCAATTTTTTAATTCTTTATATATTCTAGATATTAATCCTCTGCCCAAAGAGTAGCTGGCAATAATCTTTTCCCATTCCATAGGTCTCATTATCTTGTTTCCTTTGCTGTTTTGTTGATGTCAGTGCAACTGGGGTCGTGTTCAGAAAATCCTTGCCTACGCCTATGTCTTCAAGAGCTGTGCCTATTTTATCTTCCAGTAGGTTCAGTTTTTCTGTTTTTATATATAGATCTTTGATCCATTTTGATTTTCATAACTCTTTAGGCAACACTACATAACCACATCTAAAAGAAAAACAGCTACTGGGGGTTTTGCTGTGGTGTCAGTGCTGCCTGATGGATTTCTGCAACGCAGACTGGGCACAAGTAGATGACCTATGACACCACCCTCAGCCCTACCTGTGTCTGAGGACGATCACAGGGAACACACACCCTTTAAACAGTTCCAACGCAAATGAACTTTCCTTCATGGATCAGAATCCTGAATACTCAGTGCAGGGGCTTAAGCTCCTTCAAAGCTCTGCTTCTGGGCCAGGGATATAGCTCAGCGGCACAGGGCCTGCCTGGCAAGTGCAAGATAGTGAGTTCAATTTCCGGTACAAAAAAAAACAAACAAACAACTGCTCTGCTTCTAAGGAAAGTTCTGCCCCTGATGACTGATGTTTGGTAAGGCAGTAGATGGGTCTCTGTCATGGAACTAATACCAGATGGACTAACTGCTCACAGGGAGAAGCGAACTCTGACACCGAAGCGCGTGGTCTCTCTAATCAGCTACTGACAATCTTGGTCTCATTCATAGTCATTGAGAGAAGTCACCCAGTGCTTGCCCTGAGAACAAGCATGCACCAAAGAAGCATATTCTAGCCCACAGTGACAGTGCCAATGTGTGACATGTGATAAAGGAATTATTCACTCTTCTATTAGCCCAGTTTTAATTATCTCAGCCTGACTCTTCTGAGTCATGACTTCATGTCAGGGCTTCTATACCACTTACATCTTCCAGAAAACAGTGGCTGAAGACACTGCTGCTGTATTACCTATCTGTTATAAAGAAACCTCAGACACAAAGGGGATAAACAGACCAACTAGGTGTCTGGTGCCACACCATTCTTCTGTCTGCCTTGCTGGTTACCTGCTGCACGATATTTGTTTTCTTTGCATTTTTAACATTGTTAGATCACTTTGTGGAAAACATGGACCGTAAGTGCCAAAAATGGAGGAATTCGGCTGTTTTGTTGGCCGTTATATTCCCAGGATCAAGAACAGTATCTGGCTATAATTTGTGTCAGATAAATGTGTTGAATAACTAACAAGAAAATGATTGGTTAGGGAGACACATACATATACATAAGAACAGAAGGGACTAGATGTACTGTTCATCACCACTTATTATTTATTAGCACTTATCTGAAACTAAAGAAGAATTTTATTTATAATCACATTATTCATTCAATAAATCTTTGCTGCACACCTACTGCATGGCAGAATCCATCTGACACAGCCGGTGGTCTGGAGTGGCTCAAAAGTCTACATGGATTAACTGGGCATTGTGCAGCATGAATGCAATCCCAGGGGGAAGGGAGGCTGACTCAGCAGTACTGCAAGTTTAAGCCTGCTGTAGTTTAGATCTACAACACTCGCCAAATGTCTATGGTTTCAGAGGTGATGCTTTGGGAAAGTGATTGAACCATGGAGGCACTATACTCACCAGTGGATTAATCCACTGCTGAGTTTATGGCTGGATGTGCTGTTAGCAAGTGGATTCCAGAACGGCTGGAGATCACTGGATGCGTGGCTTGGAAGGATTTTTCTCTGTCCCAGTCTCCACCCTTCTCTGCTTCCTGGCTCCCATGAGGTGCGCAGCTTTCTTTCTCCATGCTTTCTGCCATGATGTTATGTTCCTGCCTTGGAATCAGCTAACCATGGACTGAGTCCCCCACACCATAAGCTAAATTAAAACTCTTCTTTTTTAAATTGTGGGTTTCAGATACTGTGTCTCAGCATGGGGAAGCTGACTAATACAGAACCCAACCTGAGCAACTTTAGTGACTTAAAAAAAATTAGTGACTTAAAAAAAAATCTCAAACAAATTTTTTTTAAAAAATTTACTGAGCTATAGTGTTTAAGGCTCTGGGTTTAATTTCCAGCACCAGGATTTAGAAAAAGAACTCACTGGGCTAACCTGAGGGATCATCAGATGAATGTGGGGCAGTGTGCTGAGTACAATGGTAAGGAATACATGCAGAAGCTTAGGGAGATTAAGAGAGAACACTGCTGTGAATGTGGGGAGTACAAGTCCTAAAGGAGGCTGGGGTCAAGGTAAGGATCAGGGGAAGAGCAGGAAACAGTGAGCAGGAGCAGCACTGGAAGGCATCACCCTCCAGGAGTCCAAGGCCAGGGCAGAGCAGACAGAACCAGAAGAGAATGTGAGGAAGGCAGGCTGGATGTGTGCAGCAAACAGAGATAAAGAATGGCACAAGAAGCCTGGGATTGATTCTTGCACCAAAAAAGAGCCTCAGAAGAGCTCTTGAACTGTGAAGTGACCCGGCCAGACTGGTCACCTGATGTCTGGGCAGAACTTGGACCAGAGGGAGCTAAGACCCAGGTGAGCCCACCCCTGAGCACAGGTGAGAGCTCCTTAAAGCCTGGACTATCACAGGTCGAAGAAATGGAGAGATGCAAAGGAGAAATACTGCCTGTGTTTTAAAAATATATTTTTATTTTATCAGTTCTGATAAAATACCTTCATTATTGCCAGCATTCTCAGATGATTTCTACGAGGATCTCACTTTCTGAATTTTCTGGGTGATGCCTACAACAGCACACTTTGTTCCAAATATTTTTATGACAATTCTTGACTTAAAAGGAAAGCTGCAAGTTGTCATGACAAAGTGCATACCAAAAACAAACAAAAAAACGTAAGTATTGCCTATACTTATAGTGATTTATAAGGTTTATTTAATCCTATCACAGCAATGGAAGGACTTAAGATCAATACCCAGATTTACCCAAATACCCTGCCCAAACTTAAAATGAAAAACTCTGCTCATGGTGGCACACACCTGTAATCTGAGCACTCCAAGAGGATGAGGAAGGTGCCTTGCAAATTTGAGCTCAACCTGGGCAACTTGGCAACATAACATCCCTTTATCAAAAAAATTTAATAAAGGTGTGGGTGGGCTAGGGATACAGGTCACTGCAGAGGCTCTGGGATCATTCCCCAGAAACACACACACACACACACACACGCACACACGCACACACGCACGCACGCATGCACGCACCACAAAGAATCTTTAAAATATGTTTAGAATACAACAGAGTACATACATACAAACAATACCATCAAAAAGATATCCCTGCCTGCAGCCTTATGGAAGAGTATTCTTTTCAGACTTTTTGTTTCATTGCCCAAAGCGTCGGTGAACGTGTGAGTTGGTCATTGTGCCTGTTTCCCACAGCCCTGGACCGACGCGTGACTGAAGCTACCTTATGCACGATGAGCTCGTGAGTGCCGTCTGGAAGAGTCCGACCATCTTCCTGCATCAGGGGCACAAAAGAGAAACCGAACAACTTCTTCTCCCCTTTCTCCTTTGCTGTAAAGAAAGGAAGGGATAAAAGATCACTTGCTCACGTAAGCCCAAGCTTAGACATCTGAGGTAGAGAGGTGCAAACATCAAGAAATATCTTCCCCCGACTCCCGCTCCTTCGCACAATGTCCAGCACTGTCCTGATAGGACATCCACTTAGGTGGCTACCCTGGAACCCCCCAGTCCTGTCCGCCCCATCTCAAATTACATTCCTTGCCTGATTTTGTCTATGGCATTCATTAAGGCATTCATTACCTGCTGTTTTTAAAAAATTGTGGAGTACCTGTTTTTCTTCATATCTCACTCCCCATGTCACGGACTATTGATGGCAGGATTCTTACCCCCTTGATTTTCTCCAAGGGTGTGAGGAACACAGCAAGTTCTCAATAAATGTATGTTTAATAAAGAATGAATGAATGTGTGAATGTGAAGTATATATTTGCTTTGCTTATCAAGCACAGAAAGGGAATTTCTAAACTCTGCCTCTGTCCATGCCAGAACTTCTTTCCCTATATTCAGAAACGTAAAGTCAGGGGGCCACATCAAAGCTACTTGCTTGGAATAAGTCAGACCTGCTATAAGATAATTATGAATTGCCAGTGACAGATTAATGCAAGATTACTATAGCAGTACTCTCCAAGGTGGAAATGAGGCAATGAGGTTTTCAGACACCTAATTAAGAAGTACAATGGTTAGAAATATAGAGGCCCCTTAGCTATTGTTTGGACACAAGGAAATGGCGATTCCAGATGTAAGGTAACCTGCTCTAGAACTTCTGAGTACCACTGCAGTTCTTCCACCAAGCTTCTTTTCTCTAGAAATAGAGAAAGCATAACATCACCATGTTTGTTCAACTTGGCAGTCCTCTGGCACTTGGATGTGTTGGGAGGATCTCTCCAGGGCTGGACGGTTATGCTCTCCCACACAAGCGTGGCAGTGGAGCTGGCCTTGGGGTGCAGTGAGACCTGACTAGAGGAGTCAGATACGGTGATCCTGAAGATCAGACAACACAGTTGGCAACACGTCCTCCTGATGATTGCTTCTGGCATCTAACCAGGAAATGGAGCCTCATGCAGAGAATAGTGATTTGAGCTTGCCGGACTTGGTCCCTGAAGGACAGACCTGAAGGTGTGATGTCTTTTAAATGTGTCCTTTAAAAAAAAAAAAAAAAAAGGCTTTCTTCTAAAAGCACTAATTTCAACTCCAGAGAAAAACTGGGGGGAAAAAACTGATGTTTCTTAAAGGTAAGCAAAAATTATAGCGAAGACCTCTGGGAAGAAATTTCTACAGCAATAATAGTGCCAGAACATATGATTTAGAAGACTTATTTAGAAATAATTTCTGAATTTTATTTGACTCTTTCTGGTGTGGTTTGTGGCATTCAGTTTAGGGAAAAAAAATAAAGATTCTGTAACAAATAAAATTAGCAAAGATAGGATTCTTTTTTTGGAGGGGAAGCTTTTTTGAGACAGGGTTTTGCTATGTAGTTCAGGCTGGCCTTGAACTCACAACAATCCTCCTGCCTTAGCCTCTGGAGTGTTGGGATTACAGAGGTGCGCCACTAGGCCCAGCCTGTAAAGATAAGATTCTGCTATAAAATTATGGTTTTGATACATGTCTAGCATCTGCTTCGGTTAAGTTTTGCGAAGGATGTCAGGTCTGTGCCCACTTTCCTTTTTTGCATGTGCATGTCCAGTTGTCCAAGTGCCATTTACTGATAAAACTACCTTCCTCTATTAACCTGCCCTTGCTTCTGCATCAAAGATCACGGGACTACACTTACAGGGATGTATTTCTGAGCTCTCTTTTCTGTTGCACTGATCTATCTGTCTGTTCCTTCACAAAATCTTACTATCTGAATCACCTGCAGCTGTACTGTAAGTCTTGAACTCAGGTGTTATCATTCTTGCAACTTTGTTTTTCTTTCATATTGTATTTGCTATCTTAAGTCTTTTGCTTTTCATTGTAACCTTTAGGATTAGATTTTGACTGCAATCGCATCGAGTCTGTAGACTCAGAAGGAACTGACATCTTCACAATATTCTTTCTATCCGTGAACAAGACTTACGTAGTCTTCGTAGTAAAGATTTGTCTATATTCACTTTCTCCTTCCTTTCCTCCACCTCACTCCTAAGCTCACAAATTCATCAAAACTACTTATCAGGTTTAATGACTTCTATGATGTCAAATCAAATTATAGTTTCTCTGTCCTCATTTATTTATCACTGACACCCAACATATCTGATCAATTCTTTCTTGAAAAACTGCCTTCAGGTAGCCTCTTGGATTCTCTTCTTCCTTGATTGTCCTTCAACCTCCTGGCTAATGCTTCTTAATGTCACTTAATGCTTCTTCTCACTCTCCTCTAGATGTGGTGGGTGCTGCACAGAATCATCCTTGGACCTCGCTGTGCTATCTCAACTTACAATTTTAAAAAACATGAGAAGCAATGGCGTGCTATAGCTGGACCACAAAAGCTGTACTGGGTCACAAAAGCTGAGACTGTGGATCTTTCTCCAACTGCACATTCAGTGAAGTCATGGAAGTGCTTAAACTTGGTCATGATTGGAGCATATACACATTGGGAGTCAGCAATTGCTACAGACCAGAAGTAACCCTGCCCTTGCCCCTGAGGACAAGAGTCATTAGGTATTCATAGCAGACAAATGAGCTATATGTTCTCATTTACCAGTTTAGGTTTCCAACCTGGATCTCATTCAATTGCCCATCTAACAAACTGAAGGCCTAACAGACGTAACATGTCTAAAATACAATGTTTGATTTTTGTTCCCTAAACACATTCCTCCTGCTGCTGCACCACCACTTTACAACACACGAATACTTCATTCTCAGGCCAGTCTCCTGGGGTCATCCTCAACGCTTCTCCTTCTTTCACATCTAACCTGTCAATAATCTATAAAACACATTTAAACCATTTCCGTCTTAAGACAGCCCGCTTTCATCTCTCAGTGGAAGAACTACAAAAGCCTCTCACCTGGTCTTCTTATCCCAACCAGCCCATCTACAATCCATACAGCAGCCAGATGCTTCACCTCAGATCCCCTGGGCTCCCCTTGTTACTCCAAATAAAGCCCACAGGCCTCACCGTGACGCACATAACAGTGTGAGATCTGACTCCTCCGCTCCCTCTCTGTTCTCTTGCTGTTCCTTGAAAATGGCGGACATGTTTCAACCGCAAGCCTATAGTATTCACTGTTCTCTCTGCCTGGATTATTCTTTCCCAGATACTGCAGTGCTCAGGTCTTCACTGCTCTCACTTTGCTGCTGACACGCGTACTTCTCAGAGATGTCCTTTCCGCCTACCCCCTGTCAGACGGCAACATAAGAAGCACCATCACTTCCTAGCCTCTGAACTCAATTTAATCTCCACTGGACTCACCCTCCACCTTCCTGCTAGACAATAGTCCCCTACCCTGTCCATGGGGGATGTGTGTCCAGACCCCCAGCGAGTGTCTGCACCGCAGGTATGCAGCCTGTATATTTTATGGTGTTTGATATGTATGTACCAATGGTAAAGCTTAATTTGTGAATTCGGCAGAGGGAAAGATTAATAACAATAACATGCACATCTAGAGTCTCAGCTGATTTTTTTTCTGCAAGTCAAGAACTTGTACCTTTTCTCTTAAAAGAGGCAGTGTAAGTCTTCTTTTGGGGGTACCACTGCTCTCACATTTTGAGGCCATTAGTAAGTAAAATAAGTTACTTGAACACGAGTACTGTGACGTGACAACGGCTACCAAGCGATGGATGGGTGGGGACCCCAGGCGGCACGGGCATGCTGGACAAGTTCTGGCGGGACAGAGAGGGCTGGCGTGGGCCTCTTCTACTACCTGCAGTGGTGTGCAATTGAGAACTTCTGAACTGTTCCCTTCTAGAATTTCCCGGTTAGTATTTTGAATTGCGGTTGACTATTGCTAACTGAAGACACAGAAAGCAACACGATGGGCCGGGGGAGACGCAGACAAGGGGAATGACGTATTTACTGGCTCATTTTTCTGTCTTCCCTCCAGGAATGAAAGCTCTGGGAGAGATGCGACCTTGTGTTTGCGGATGCATCTCCAGCACCCAAGAAAGTGGCTGGCACACGGTGAGTAATCAGTAATAAATAAACTTCACGAATAAATAACATTTTTGAACAAATACATGTGCATACTGAAGTATTTGGAAGCCCATGTGATAAAATTATTTTGTTGGTATTTGGAGTTTGTGGGACTTATGGGGATTTTTTTCCTACTTTATGCTTTGCAATTTCTTTTGAATTTTAACAATGAACATTCAAAAGAAAGAAAGAAACTGAATGTGTGAACACTGTTTGAAGTAGCAGGACGAGAGAGCAGAGATTTAACCGAATTTCCTGAACACAGCCCTTGTTCTGCTTTCTAAGTATGAATAATAATAATCTTTGCCCACTGTTCTTTCTCCTTTTCCCTGCGGTTTCACCTTTACTTTCCTTTACCTTTGTCTTCCTTTAAATCTCAAAGTTCACATTAGGTCCAAATGAGAATTCATAGCAAAGACTGGTAGAAGGAACGGAACTGCACCAAAGTCCTTTATGCTTCCCCAGTTCAGCCTTTCCCATGCAATTCTGGGGGTCTGGATAAAAAGCAAGACCCTGCTGGCCATCCTCCTGCACCCTGAGACAGCCACGGAAGTATCATTTATGGAGTTCTGTGGGGCAGTTGTGAAGGACACCACAGTCCTGGCCGTGGCCAAAGTCCTCTGCCCGAAGCTTGGGGAACGGTATCACTCAGATGAAGTCACCATGGATCTGGCCGTGCCCCCGTGCCTTCCAAACTGGAGAGGAGCCTGCTGCTCGCAGTTATGTGATTTTCCTGTATTTTTGGCTTTATACACTGCTCCCAATCCAAGATTCACCAGAACCTTCTTTGGTCACAATAGACACTGTAGAGTCTAGGACACACCGTGGGGACAAAGGCGGTACCAGGAGATCTCAGACTGGGATGGGTGGGGCTTGACAGGGAAGGAAGGTGTTCAAGAGAATTAAAATAGTGGGGCATTGATAAATGACCACTTTATAAACAGTAACACAAACCGAACAAATCCCCTAAATTTTCTGTTTTGAGTGGTTTAAAGCTGTAAAGTCAGGTAATTACTTCATGTTATCTCTAAGGCCTTTTCCAGAGGATACTGTTTGACACTCATTTCAATATTATGTAAGATTGTACAGTGATGCAGATATATGCAAATCAGACATAAAACTTAGCCTACCCAAGGCTTTCCCAGTGACTTTGCTTGCCTGGGAAATTCTGAGTATGTTTCCTCACGCTGAGGGCTGGCTGGGCTCCGGGTGATACCAGACTTGTGGTCAAGCTGCCCAGCACCACCAGAATTGGTCCAGGTTTTTAGCTCTGTGCCTTATCTCTGTGTCTAGACTCTAAGTGATGGGCTGATTTTTCATGACAGCAATCAACTTAAGGAGCATCTGGCCCCTTCTTATAGAAGTCTTCCCCACCTTCTTTCTTGTTTCCAAAATGGTTTTAACTTTTAGAAAAGTGAACCCACTTCCTTCCTAGAATTCCCACTCACCGTCATCCTCCCTCCCAGTCTCTCATTTTCACCCTTTCTGCAGACTACCCCACATCCTCAGCACAGCTCAGCAAGCAGCTGCCCCACCCCAAAGCCACAGAGCCAATCCCCCAAACACTTACTGGAACAATGGCGAAATTCAAAGCGGATATGTGCGCCCCGGAACTTGTCCACGGGAATAGGAAGTTTCAGCAGTTCAGACCACCGGGGACTATTGTTGTGGTAAAGCACGAAGGAGTGGTACTCACTAGCTGGTGGCTCGCCAGAGCCAAAAGAGATGAAGTCCTAACACAGAAAACGCGTAGGTTAAAGACAACCCCATTCAAAACGCTGTTCTGAAAGTACAGAGTAACTATTGGTGTATCTGTCTGTGCCCCAAACAGCACCTCATGTGCCCTTTGTCACACCAGGTCCACACTTGCTCCTGCAGAGTGGGGCATTTTGGTTAATTCCAATGCTGGATTCCCAGGCCTTCTCTGCCAAGTGGGGGTGCGCAGTGGTGACCTGTGAGAGGTGGACGATCGTCTGCCCTACTGGGAGTTCAACTACGCAGCAAAGTCCCAACCTGCTGAAGCCAAAAGCCTGCTCTGAGCCTCAGTGAGTACCTCACTAAGCCCCGGGAAGACTCTGTGATACAGCAGGCTCATGTGTTCCTCCACCAAGAAAGAGTGCATGGAAAACACTTTTCCATAAGGATCCCTCTATCATCACCCCAACTGGGAAGCAGGACCCCAGGCTTCAAGCCCTATTGTGGTGAAAAATAATCCACTATGTACCCCAAGTTGGCCTTGAACTGCTGGCAATCCTCCTGTCTCAGCCTCCTGAGTACTGGAGTTATAGGCGTGCACCACCACACCCAGCTAAGATGATTCATAGATTTAAAATGACCTTCTTCTTTCTTAAAAACCAACTGCCAAAAAAGGTTCATTTGTAAAACTATGGTAGATGAAAGGAAAAAACTTAAATGACATAAAAATACTGCATTTAAGCAATAACTGTTCTCAGTAAATTGTTGACACAACTCAAGGAAATGTAAAAAGCATTTTTGCTTTGCTATTTTACTGTCTAAGAATCTTTGTAATGAATTTTTTTTTTTTTTAGAAAGAAAAACTACTTGGGAAAGAAGCAAATGTTGCAAAAAAGAAATTAATCGATCATATTAAAGATGAAGCCCCGCCATTACGTAGACTGATTTTACCCAAAAGGCCTCCATATTAACATACCTTCAAGGTCTGGCCACTGCTGTCGACAATGAACATGGTAACTTCCACATTCCGGGCCACGCTCTTCCCTCCTTTCTCAAATTCTCCCCTTTCTATGGTGATGTATAAGTCATTCCTCATTTCGCCTATTAGGAAAAGAAAATTGAAATGGGACATTATAAATAAGAAAATGTAATAAATCATCAAGAAAAACCCCGCTTATAAAGTACAAATACGTTTATAGTTCTACAAAAGGGTGACCATCCTCACTGCCAGTGTGCCCGAAGAATAAAGCCAGCTTCTGCTAGTCTGACTCTGAAACACTGCAAATGCGCATTTAGGAGGTGAACATGCGGGCCGAATAGAATGGTGGTGTTACGTCTCACCAGTTTTCAGTATTTCCCGCACTTCATTTATGAAGTGTGATTAAAAAATGACAGGCTCGCAGAGGTGGCAAACATAAACCAGTATTACTCCTTTATGGTCGTAGCACTTTAGAGCAGAAGAAATACCTAAATGGAATAAAATGATAGGACTGCAAAGAGTTCAACTGCAATTTAAATCTTTTCCAAAATTCACAGACAAAGTGATCTCACTGCTGGAGGAATCCAGATTAGTGCTTTATGAACACAGATGTAGAATAATTCAGCCATACAGACAAAGTCAACTTAATATTTCATACCATCAAACTATAAAACAAATGAGAAAGGCTCTATATTCACAGTGACATTTTCTAGGCACACATAAAGCATCTATATTTTTTCTGTTGGTGATTTATACAACTTGAATGGCTTTTAATCTTACCCCTCTTTAATACTGCCAAGGAGGGGGAAAAATTGGTGCCAACTGGCAGACTTGGGCTAACAGCATGCTTTTACCTCTCCTAAGAATTAAGTGGCAAATGGACAGAACAGAGAAAAATAAGCAAGCAGCTACTGTACCTGAAAGTTTCTGAAGGTAAATGTTGGTGAGATGGCCTGGCTGAGTTCACTTTGACTTAACATGGTTCTCAGACATTTAAAAAATCAGAAGTAACTATCTTTCTATTCTGATTTTATAAAACCTCCCATAAAGAAGCAAATCACCAGAACAAAAAGTGACCCTATATGTGTACCCACAAGTAAGAGATTTATAAATTTCCTGGTTAAAGTGTGCTCAAGAAAGGTCCCAGCTCTCCATTACTGAGGGGACATAGCAGGGTGCTTAACCCCCTTCTTTACAAAGCCAACTCTTTGCAATGGCATCCTCTCAAAATGATCCGGGCTGACTAGAAAATAGATGGACATAAAACATGAATTGAGTAAACTCTGAAAAGGATTAAATCTTAACCAACTTCATCCAGAGTGTATAAAACATGTATTAGTGGGAATAATTGAGACAGAAGTCTCTGGCTTAAGAATTTCAGTGTTTTCCTAAGTTCATAAAAATCAACTTAGAAAAGCAATGAACTTAGAAACCTAAGAGAAAGGCAACCTATTTAAACACATTTAAGGTTATATTTATGTGCCTTGAAAGTTTCTTGCCTTAATTCTTTATAAACTTTTAAAATTTTTAGTGATTAGCCCCAGAAATATTCTAAATTTTCTAGATTCTTTTAAATAAATAGCTCATTTCATTTTATTACTATATGGATGCCCCTCAGTCTCCATGGGAGGTTACTTCTAGGACTCCTTGTGGACACCAAAATCCATGGATACTTAAGTCCCTTATATAAAATGGCACAGCATTTCCACATAACCTACACACATCTTCCTATGTATTTTAAACAACCCCTGTATTACTTGAAATGTCTGATACAGTGCAAATGTTATGTAAACAGTTGTATTGTTTACTGAATAACAGCAAGAGTACATGTTCAAAGCAGGCATTATATAGATATCTATCTATATAAATACACCCAGAAACACACACTTAATTATCTAATTAAAAATGTCCATTTTATGGTGAACAGCAAAGTCATACATTTTGTCCTCTGCATTCAGCAACTTTGACAATCAGAAGTGCCTAGTCCACTAACAGTCTGCACACAGGCTAATCCAACTACAAATTTGGGAGGAGACCTGACAATGGTTTTCCTACAGGCAGACTTGACAGGTAAAAAATGATTCAAATCAAGGTACTTTACAGCAAAGACGTTAGCAAAGTTCTTTTGCTTCTTGGAGAAGGGGACACATCTTACAAATGGACTCTATACCGTACACTGATCAATGACAAGTTTAGCTATAGGAGTTTTTACCTTAGGAACTTCTCACAATGAGTCACCATATAGGGGTCAGCTATTGTGCAAGATGAGGTTGGAATGCTCCACGAATGGGAGGTTTGCAGCCTCACCCTCTGGAGGCCGCTGCCATTCTGACTTCAGCAAAGGCAAGGGGAATGAGGGAGGTTCGCAAGGTAACCCGCTTCCCCGTGTCCATAGCCCAGGCCCGAAGGAGGGAGAGTAGGGGCAAGGACTGCCAGTGTCACAACACTCTTTTCCATGTATTACTTAGCAACTATTCCTTGAGCACTTCCTCCTAAATATCACTCTAGTTTAGAAGATTTAGCTAATGAACAAAGTGAAAATTACTGATTCTTATAGAGGTAGGTCATTAATAAACAAAATATATAGCACAGTGAATGATGACTAATACTGTGGATAAAAGTAAGACAAAGAAGAGGGATAGGGAATAACTGAATGAGGAGAGAGGCATCATAATCTTTAGCCGGTACATGGGAGGAGCTTCATCATCAGGACCTGAGCAAGCTGCGGCGTGTTTTGACAAAGGAGTGAAGACACAGAGCACACTAGATTCTCAGCGCCATCCACAGTACCTATTTAGTGTATAACTTAGCTGCACTCTTCTCTCTCTTATGGAAGAGATTCTGCATTTAAATAGGGCTGAAAGCTGCACGGTCACAGAACAATTAGAAGAAAATGATCTAGTTTCCAATCTCTCTGCTACTGCTACTGCTACTGTGAGACTTTAGCTAGACAGGACAACAGAAACCTGTGGAACTCAAATTTTTTGTTATTAAAATGGAAAAGCGATAAAGATAGAAGACAGGAAAGGAGAGGTAGTGCAAAGGACAGAATGAGTTTGTCATGTTATGCCACTCCTAGATTCGCAGGTCTTCTGAAATAAAGCACATTCATACGTCTTATCTAGAAGCTTTAAGAGTCTCTTCCTCAAGCCTCACCATTCCTGTAGCCCTCTTTGTCTTTCACAAATGGATTAGACTAAAGCAAGGTTGCTTTGCATAGAGAACACATGACAAGAAGAACCTATCTCTGGATGACATTCTGCATATGCCTCTCCCCAGGAATACTCAGCTTGCTATGTTCCAATTCTGCAAGGTGCCACATTTTGCCAAAATATGCAGAAGGAGAGAGCTGAAACAAGTGCTAATTAAAATCAACACATTTGATGGGCTCTGGAAAAAACTAATAAGCCCAAATGGTATTAGGAAAGCATCTTGGGTAATTAAGAGAGAAGCCATAAAGTGAATATCAAATGGAGTCACAGCACCAGTGTGAAAAGCTATTTTCTTGGCAATGTTTATTAATACCTCACACCTCTCAAACTCACTACTCTGTGAGTCTGATGTGTCTGACACTCTTCTCTCTTTAGCAGGCTCACTGGCTAAGAAGGCTGTACACATGCGAAGGCTCCTCGAACTATTGTAGAAAACACAGAGTGAAGGTCATCTCCGTGAGAACAAAGTCAAAGGACTTTAGTGACTACAGTAAATGGGGCGATTAATGGTTTGACCTAAGCAAGCAAGAGGTTCCACCAAGAGATGAAGGTCTTGATCCCTCATTCTGTCCTCTGCATGCTTTGGATGAAGGCACCGACTATGTAATTACTGCATCATGTAAACCACTGTACACAGCCACAAGGGCTACCCAGATTCTGACCTGAGCACTGGTTATGGTTTATCAAAGTGGAAAAAAAAGTCCTGTCCTTCAATTGAAATGCAAAAGAAACAGTGTAAATGTTTTAGAATTTTTCTGTGAATTTAAAAGTTTATTGATGATGATGATGATTAGGATGCTAATAACTGCAAAGATGACTACAGTATTACAGGCTGAACATCCTTAGTGGGAAAATCCATTTCTCAGTGCTGATGTAATGCTCAAAACATTTCAGATTTCGGACATTTCGAAGTCTGGATTGTTAGATTAGGGATGCTCCATTGGTGAAGTCTGCAGAGTTTTGAAATTTTAAAAAGAACTGAAATCAGAAACATTCCTATTCCCAAGGATTTCGGACAAGCGCTACTCAACTGGATGTAGCCCTAGTACCAAGAGCACCAGCAATGCACTGAGTATCTGCCACATTTTTTTACACAGCACTGTAAGTAGAGCCTCTTTAAATCTTTATGTCCACTTTATAAGAAGGCACTATCATATGTCTTTTACAGACAGGGAAACTACAGACTAAGAAATGTGTACAAGGTATTATTAGTAACTCCGCTTTACCTATGAAAAAATATATTTCAACAGAGTGTGAATACCCCCAATAAGCTAATGCAAATCCGCCTTTGTCACCACAAGCGACTCGAGCAAGGAAGGTGTTAGCCTTCTGTTATTGTGCATTGGTCAGACCAGTCTTGAAATACTGACTTCTGTTCTAGGGATGATCTTTATAGGGTGCAGACAGGGTGATGTGATGGTGTGCTCTGGGTCATTACAATATTCAAATATGACCCAGAAAACTACCACCAGGGACCCTGAGGAAGAAATCCATGTGCTGGACACAGGGCTGGGCTGGATGGTCCTTCACGTATGTGGCAGACCGAGTATGATATCTTCTCCCCAAAGACGACCAAGTCCTAACCCTTGGAACCTATGGATCTGTGACCTCACACGGCAAAAGGGACTTTGAAGATATGATTAAATTAAGGACCTTAAGACAGAGAGGTCTCCTTGGATCACTGGGGTGAGTTCGATACAATCACAAAGGTTTTTAAAAGAGAAAGGCAGGGTTGTTAGAGTTACAAAGGGGATCTGATGAGGGAACAGAGGTTAGAATGATCTTGAACCACAAGCTAAGAAGTGCAGGAAACTCCAGAGGCTGGAAAAGGCAAGGAAAACAACTCTCCCTTCCACCACTGGAAGAAAGTGCAGCCTTCCCAGTACATTAACTTTAGCCCAGTGAGACTT